GACATACTGGGTTTTGTCGTGTTGTGTGTCCGAAACTAGGATCAATGACCTTCACAGGGTTGTTGAATTAACTGCGCCCGGCTTATCCTCTCGATATTGGTTGCGCACATCAGGCGACGCTGAGACGGCACTCACGTTTCAAGCTGAGATAGTTGTCATTCTCAGCGCCAAGGCTGAGCCATCTTTGGTTGATTGGATTCCGGTGAACAGCCGTTTATGTGCAGCCCTTTTGACGACATCGACCAAGGTTTATTCCCGTAGTAGCACAAAACGCTGTTTGTGCTTTCCGCTTATGCTCCCACCGACTGCAATTCTGATGCTGTCAAAGACGCATTCTATCACGAAGTGAACGCGCTACTACGTAGTGATACTAGCTCAGACAGTACGGTGTTCGCAAGGGATATGAATGCAAAACTAAGGCGTTTGAGCCTTCCAAAAGCTTAGCTAGTTGTTACTTATGGGCTTAACTCCGTACGGATTGACAACAGCATCTGTTGCACTGTGTGCGGACACCAGCTGTTTCTTAGTAGCACTGCTTTTAGACACAGTGGGCGCCGAAGTGCCACTTGGTGTCCTCCTGTAGGCGGCCAGCAATTGATCCAAGGTGATCGCACTGCCATAAGTTACAGGTGGCATGGTTGCATCCTAGATTGCAGCTTGTACTGGAATACCTGCGTCGACTCCGATCATGTTGTGGTACGCTTTCGTTTCTCCATGAATTTTAAGGATTGACAAATGCGATATTGTCTCAGGCCTCTGTCAGGTAAGCCTACGAATACGCACTGCATACCGAACTTCCGCTGTCTTGTTCCATTGACAATGAGCATCAGCTGTATAGGACCTGGGTCGCCATGCACAAAGTAGGAGCATCTGGTTGTGGCACTATCAATCGTCACAGCATCAGTCACTGTATATCCGAGACCTCGGTGAACCTGTTGGAATCCAGAAGAAACCTCTCGACTAGCTCTGAGCACAGTGTGACCAGACGGACCATCAGGCGCGAACGAAAACGGAGCCTGCGCGCTAACAATGAAGACTGGTGGACCAGTGGAGCTTGAAAAATGGAGGAGGCAGAAGCAGTAGGCAATTACTGCAACCTCTTGCAGCTGATTCACATCAATGGTCTCAGGGAATCAGACGTCAGTGAGACAAGCAGATACAGCGCGTGTGTACTGATATACAATTAGGAGCGCCGGATGGCTCGTTAGACAGAACATTTTGAAGATCAGTTCAGCTGGCCACCTCCTCCCGGACCTCTTCCTTCTCAGATGATGCAGGACGAGCCATAGACTTTTAGTTTAATGCCTCCATCGGGAGCCGAGTTCCGAAATGCAATCACGGCCATCAAGTGTTATCTTGCCGCTGGCCGGGATTCCCTCCAACCTGCACTATTTAAGGATGGAGGTGAAGCCTCGTATAAAGTACTGACCTCCCTATTCGTACGTAATTGGAAGGAAGAGTGTGCCGGCTAACTGGAATGAATCGAGTATAGTGGCGATGTACAAGAAGGGGAGTCGTACAGACTGTCCTAACCACAGTGGTATTAGCCTAACGCCAGTTGTGACAAAACTACTGGTGTCGATTCCCGTTCGTCGCCTCAATGTGGAACGGGAATTTTGGACTAGGGAAGAGCGGGCAGGTTTTTACCCAAGACGTGGCTGTATATACCATACACTTACGCTGCGGCAGGTGGTAGAGCAGCGCCAAGTCTACTACAGCCCCACAATAGCCATGTTCCTCGATTTCAAGATGGCACTCGATTCAATGGATCGATCAATTCTGTTCGAAATGCTTGCGCGCAAATGTATTCCCAAGAACTTCGTGAACCTCCTACGTGCGCTATACTGGAACATCACACGCAGCGTCAGGGTCTACGGTGTCCTCTCGGACAGCTTTGCGACCACAAGTGGCTTTCATCAGGGTTGTCCGACTTCCTCGTTTTTGTTCAGATATGTCATGGGCTCTATAATGGGGTGTGCCCTTATGGAATCTAATGATGCAGGTCTTAAACTCTTGTCTAGTGAAAGGTTAGTTGATTTTGATTATGCAGAAAGTATGGTCTAGCTTTCTGGGAATGTTAGGGCGGCGAATCAACCCTAAGTAGCCTGTCTAGAGTGGTTCCATTATTTGGTATGCGCTTCGCACCCTAAATGTGCAAACTGCTGCTGCAAGACTACCAGCCAGTGAATGATTTCTTCACCCTTGCTAACGAGGAATTCCAGCCTATTGCTCGATTCAATTATATTGACAGCTGCATCAGCAGCGATGGACACACAGAAACAAGACAGTTTACGCATTGTGAAGGTCAGAACTGTCTTCTTAAATCTGCGGCATCTTTGACAACAGAAGGGAATTTCCCTCTGTCTGAAAGGCCGTGTATACAAGGCCATGGTGAAGGCCGTTCTGCTCTATGGGAGTGAGACTTGGCCCCTTCGGTCTGAAGATATGAGGCGCCTTCAAGTCTTTGATCATCGCTGTCTGCGAAGCATTGCTGGTGACTGATGGTATCAGCTTGTCAGTAACCATGATGTGCGTAAGCGAGTACTAGGTAGTGATTATCATGCTAGCTGCTTAGAACAACAGATAGCACTGAATAAGTTGCGTTTCGCTTGGGCACGTGCCACGTATGTCTGGCCATCGCTTACCTAGGAGGGCCTTGTTTAGTCTGCCAGGTGCAGCGTGGCACAAAGCTCGAGGTGGACAGAAGTTGACTTGGCAGCGTGAAATGAAATCACTGACGACCAAACTGGGTGCCGTTGGTCCGTTTTGCCTTCCAGGGGGAGTTCAGGTCACTCGCCTAATGCTTGGCATGAGACTTTACAGGACTTGCCCCGCAGCCGACACTAGTGGCGCGACTGGTGACGTCTCCTATTCGGATTTCCTGTGTAAAGTGTGTTTTTTGCCAAGTTATCGGTGGTGTACTTGCTGTTTATGATGGGGGGCAATGAAAGCTGCAAGGAAGCTATTTCGCCGATGCCATCTTATCTTTGCACGATAGCCAGCTGTTAGTGACGGTATGTTGTCTACACAATGTGTAGACGCCTTGACCCTGAATGTCTGTGCTTAGGGCATTAAGGTTTTCAGGCAAGTCCCCCTTCTTTCCCTCTTATTACTTTTCACTTAGGTTATAATAATTGAATGGCAGCGAAGCATCAGTCCAAAGACTGGTGGACTGCTGTTGTTGTTGCTGATGATGATGATGGTGGTGGTGATGATGATGATGATGATGATGATGATGATGATGATGATGATGATGATGAGAACCGGGAACTGAGAACTGGTGCGAAGCAGCGAGTAGAGGTTGCTCTGTGTAGCTGCATCATTCATCGTTTTCGGACATTAACTTTTTATTTATCGTTTCGCTCTCTGTACTTTGCCTCTGCAAATTGTTTGTCTAGTCGCATCTTGAATTTAGACACGCTGTTCGCTTCTACTATATGCTGAGGCAGGTCGTTCCAGACATTCACCACTCTGCGTTCGAAACAGAGTTGATGGGCGACCCGCTTCAAATCCGCGACGATAAGTTAAATTTTGCCTCGCCCGGAGGCGAGGTTGCAAAAACGAGTCAAGACTCATTGTGTTGTGCCTCCCCACGGAAATCTTTAGTAAAAGGCGAAAGATTCATCCGCAAATGATGACGATGATGATGATGATGATGATGATGATGATGATGATGACGAGGAGGAGGATGATGATGATGATGGTGATGGTGACGAAGTTGATGATGATGATGATGATGATGATGATGATGCTGCTGCTGCTGATGATGATGATGATGATGATGATGATGACGATGACGAGGATGAGGATGATGATGATGATGGTGATGGTGACGATGTTGATGATGATGATGATGATGATGATGATGATGATGATGATGATGATGCTGATGCTGATGATGATGATGCTGATGATGCTGATGATGCTGATGATGATGATGATGATGATGATGATGATGATGCTGATGATGATGATGATGATGATGATGATGATGATGCTGATGATGATGATGATGATGATGATGATGATGATGATGCTGATGATGATGATGATGCTGATGATGATGATGATGATGATGATGATGATGATGATGATGATGATGATGATGATGATGATGATGATGATGATGATGATGATGATGATGATGCCGTTGCTGATGATGATCGAGCACATTATCGGCACGTGCCTGGCAAAATAATATTCGCCTAGCCTATCCTGAGGAATTTTAAGCACGTCCGTATCTAGAAGAAAACATGAGATCAAGCGGAAATATCTTCAGTCACAAAATACACCACAGTATGTACGGTGGGACATGAGGAAACTTATACCTCAGTTTGCTACTCCATCTATTTTTCCCCTTTTACGTCATAAGGTTACGTATGTTTAAAAAAGCGACTCACTTATTCATCAACAATACGTGATGCGGCATTTAGCATCTGAATCTCGAGCTGACACAAACCATCAGTGTGCTCATTAGTCCTTCAGCAACTCCGAGGGGAAGTACCGTGTTTATTCGTTTTACTCATGGTAAACTACTGCCGTCATTTTCTACCACAAGGATATAATCCATTTGCTGTTCCTGTCACCACACCACTAGTTGGTTCGTTTATCGTCGAGTCACTAATTAGGATGAACGGGCCAGTGGGTAGAACGCTGGGGACCGTAGTTACCGACAAACGCTTGTGCTACAAAGTCGACAAATTCCACTAACATTTGCTACAGCACTAGAAAGCTAACTTGTATTTCGTGATTGAATGATTTACTATCTTTAGTAAACCATCTTGAAAGTCCTGATTGCACAAAGTGAATCGCTCATATGTATTTCACGCTTCACGAGAATCTGGAATATCTTAGGAAGTCGAATTTCTTTGACCTGACTGCGATTACGACACTCACCGACCCATAATGGATCGGAAATAATAATTCCTTAACTACCACTGCAGGAACTCATAACAAGCTATTTCCAAATCACGGCTTCTCAAAATACTTTCAGTACTTACTGGTGTTAAATGGGGCCCGCGATTCAGCAGTATGCCAATATGGAAGAAACTGGGCTTTCACATGTAGATGTGGATCCTTGACTTCGGTAGATGAGCTCAATGAACCCCTGGAATCACATGTGGAATCCAACAAATCGGATGTGGGAAATTTGTTACACGAATTGCGGTCTGACGATAAAATCGACGCTATGGTGAACGATCTTCCTGAACGTACGCAATGAGTGCAGTTGATGTCCATCTGAGGCAGTGTTGGCACGAAATGAGATCATTGGCTGACTCAAACGGAACACTGAGGCATTGAGTGGTGGTGAAAATCCCGATCTTCCTACCATTCACATGCACACGCATGCGCACTCGCATCCACACACGCATCCGCTGCATAATGAGTCAGCCAGGAGCGCGAAGCTTTGACTGTGCCAATAGATATCGTTTAACCGCACCATGAGTGGTACCTCACCACCACCAAAGTGACAAACGTATACATCAGGGGTGAAGGACAGCGAATCATCATGCTTCATTAGCGGTTGTCGGCTGTCTACACCTATCAAAGACCACAGGGTTTAATCTAGTCAACCGGACAAAAGGAACATCAGCCAATGGTGGGTATTCAAAACAGTAATATGGTTCACCAAATTTAAGGGTGGTGATTTTGAAGCGATAAATTATAGCGGCTAGCAAATACCCTCAGCCACAATGATAATTCACCTTATAAGATGTTGAAATACCCGTATGAATCCACTTAAGGAAATCATCTAAGGGAATACACTTCAATGCTAGCGTGCGGTTTGGTTTGGAAGATAACCTACTTCCGCAGTGCAGTTTTCAGCAATCTTTTTGTTACTTTCATACTCACGTTCCTCTAACCAAGGGCCTGACGTACACGGTTGGTTGAAGTGTAGGAATTGCTTCGCAAAGAAACTTACGCACAGTTTCTATTAAGTTCATTGCAGTTACATAGCTAGTACCCCCCACCCCCTACTAGCGCTAGATGTCTCTATCTGCTCAGGTTGGGCCATCAGTAATACGCTTTCCCTTAGGAAAGACGCCAGCATTAAATGTACTATCATGTAGTTCGTAGCCTAGTCCCAAATCTACTGGACTGCGAGGGATGACGGATTTCAATTTGACTAGGCTACTAACTGAGGCTTACTGAGACCCGTCTCCCATTGTTACGTGCAGTGGCAATGTTATGCATGAGGTCCTTAACCTTGTTGGCCATCTTTCCTTATGGATTTCCAAACTCGCGTAGATCATGTTGTACTAGGTCATGCGTTAGTTGTAAACGTACATTTCGGCATCCGTGTTCCTGATATTTTCATACTGATTACCAACACCTAGATTCAAGTCCTTGGGTGATGAACTCCTCTTAGACATCTTTGAGCTAAATCTCTGTCTGCGTATACTCCTTTTATCTGCAGATCACTGACCATACAGCAGATACATCCGAGTCGCGGAAGTATCCATTGGGTGGAATTGATCGTGGCACCTACACACCTAAATCGCATTCACTAGAGCTGCTTCGTGACCACACCGAGTTAACAATAGAGCCAACATTCCGACTTTGCATTCCT